AAGTAATTATAACATTTCATGAGTGCGATACACAACGTTATGTTTCTGACATCCAAAATCCATACATTTAAGGTTTTATTTTTCTCGGATATAGCGAAGTGGAGTTTCCCTGCATCTGAATTGTGTACAATTAATTCTAATATTATTTCAAAAAAGTGCTTCACTAAACAATCTTTCTCTTTATATCTATATGTTTGTATATTTTGCACACTTTTTTTAAAATTAAATATTGAAGTCAATTTCTCGTCTACGTATTTACCGGTCCCAAACCATCGTTAGCAGAGATTCAGAATTGAAAATACATGTGACCACCTCCCCCAGGATATTCTTTTATCTGATAAACAAGGTATAGTTACTCCCCAGCCTAAATTCCCTTACTTCGCATTTATAGCATCCTACAAAAAAATTTTGTTTAGTTTTTTATTCACGCATGCCTAATGTTATGTATAAAATCACCTACATTTTATATGTTTTTATGGTCTATGTATACTAATGTAAAATGGTAAAAAGATTCAAATAAATGATTGATTGATTCATTGAAGAAATATGCGTAATGGAAAAAAAATGAAGAAAGATAGATCTTTGAGAATTGAATTAATAATTAAAATAAGTCTGTACAACGTACATGATATACATGTATATATCTTTTTTTTTATTATAGTACCAAAGTGTTCTATTCTAAATATTTTGTCTATCAATTTTATTCGTCATCAAATTCAATATTACGGATTTTTTTTTCGTGCGACCATAAACTTTGAGATTGTTCCAAAGTAGCGAGTACATGTACAGTGTAGGTAGTTTGTTTATTGATAACACCAGTAGCCGCAGACGAAGAACAATAGGTAATTAGTGCCCATTGTTACGCTGACCACTACAATTTGCATGGAATATACAAGTTGTACCCCCGGCCGTTCTACCCCGGGGCTGAAGACATGTACACAATACAGTAAAATCACAGGTCGATCACCGATTTCTGATCAATTGAAATCAATTAAAAATGTTTTCCTTTCAACTTTTTACCATGCAAAATTAAAATCGATCAATTTGATCATATACCAATAGTAACATATTAAATTAAGTCTCATTTCAGTTCTTATTTCCCATTCCATAAAATCAAATAAAAAAAATTAACGAGATTTCAAAACTGATTAAATAAAAAATGATTTTGTATTTAAATTTTAAGAGACAAACTAAACACATGAACCTTTGCACTAGGGATTCTTAACCACTAATTTTTAATCAGCTCGCCCCATTTGCCGGTTGCACATGCATACAGTGTGTGCTTGTACATATGTACATGTGGAGGAGTTTAATTCTTGGACGATCTACAAACGTCTACATAACATTAAAATAAATGAATAAATAAATAAATTATTAATTAAAATCAGAGCCCACAGATTGAACATATTCAAACCTGATTTCACCTCTTAGTTACTTTTTAAAAGGGATAAAATTTCTAATTTTCGAGCAAATTTTCAAATATTTCGACAAAAAGAGACCAGAAAACTGAACATTTAACAAGATAAATATTATTGTTTTCGAGAAAAAAAGGCCTTAAAAAACAAAATGTTGTCCAAACTCGACCAGTTGACCTAGTGATGGATCTTTTTTAAGATAGCATACTTTTCTTTTTATTTACAGTTTATTTTTCAAGAATATCTTATGCAAAAGTAAAATGCCATTTTTTTTCTTCAGTTAATTTTTTATTATTAATTCTATTTCTATATATTCATTCTATCAATATTTCATTTGATTATTGTCAAAATTTTCACAAAGGTAATAGTAGAAATTGAGATCAGCATAGATACATACAGTCATGTAATTTTGTCACAAGCAGAATATTTAAAGAAATATGAAAATTTCGTCCTGATAATCCAAGTAAAAGAAAGTAATAATTAAAGGTTTTTATAGTCCGCTGTTTTATTTTAAACCAATTACCAGGTTAAAAACAATGACCAGAGTAATTATCAGTAAATCTCAGCATCGACAGTACCTCAACAGTAATTATCAGCAATTCTCAGCAACGACAGTACCTAAACAGTATTTATCAGTATTTATCAGACTCAACAGTAAAAGTCAACAGTAATTATCAGTATTTATCAGAAACAACAAAAAATATCAGCAACAACAGTAATAATAACAGTAAATATCAGTATTTATCAGCAACAACAGCACAGTATCAGTAATTATCAAACTTTATCAGTAAAATTTGGGATTCTCAGCACTTTTTTCGTCCAGTAGTGTAAGAAAGGTCTTGTCACAAAGAATACACATTAGCTCCACTAAATCAAAAGCTATGGGCAGTATTAAAGTGTTTGCGTACACACAGACAAACAGACAGCGAGACACACAAAGAGAGAGAGAGAGACAGACAGACAGACAGACAGACAGACAGACAGAGGGACGGGCAGGACAAAAACTATAAACCCGAAAACTTCGTTCAAGGGGGCATAAAAATGTTTTAATGACCACATTGTATATGGTCAAGTTATGTGAGATGTGATTAAGCAGATGGTTTAAATATTCGGACGTAAACAATTAACCATAAAACGTGTTGTTTATAATTACCCGGATGTATGCGGTTTACGCCTAAAAACCTCCCATATCCATCCCCATACTAGACCAGAAGCTCTTAACCAGGCTCTACGTCACGTGACGTCATATAGAGGATGATGCTCTCGCACGTGATAGGAACGGCATTTTCCTGTTGATATTTGGTGGGAGAATTTACGAATCGTAACTAGTTACTACAGGCCGGATCTTCTGCATCTATGTTGTAGGTTTCATCGGTCCCTTGTTTATTTACCTTTAAAAACAATATGATTATAAGGTTAAGAATGAATTTTAGTTCAGAATATGTTAAATATTTTATTCTTGAAGACAATTAGATCCATATCGATCAAAATTACTTTAAGGTAATGAATATTTAGGGATTAAAAGAATCTGAAAAAAAAAAAACGTTGTGAGAGTGTTGCATTAGCAATATCAGTCCCCTACCGGCAAGTGCAATCCGGTTCCCTTCAGAACTGAAAAGTTTATCAGAAATTATTGAAATGGATCAAAAATAAAAATTTATCTATAACTAATCAAGGCCAAGCAACATATACAAAAGCTAGTCGGATAGAAAATCAGGGCGGACAGAGAGGGACGAAAGCAGTGGAAACCTTTAGTCCATCTTGTTTCACCGACAGGGAACTAGAAATATGTAACTAAAATATGCAACTTCATTTTGTTTTCATTTTATTTGATTCTCTATATAATTTTACCTGCCATGAATAAAAATCATCTTTTTTGTCTACAGTGTGAATAAGTCCTTAATAAACACCGACGATCGTGAACTTCGTAACAAAGGTCCCATGCGCCCATCCTCGCTCCCGGAAAGGACGAAGATTTAATGGCGAATCCTGGAGGCGTGGTCAGATTATCTCTCTGGTGTGGCAAGGGACCTAGAGGAATCTTACATGTACAAGATAATGTCAAGGACGCATAATTTTATGTATAATCTTAAATTAATTGCCAATATGTTATTTAAATAATGGCAAAGTCAGTGAAATTCTACTGACAGGAAATTACATGGAAGAGGTCTAGCTTTAAGGAATCCGTATACACTGCACACAAAAGAGTTCCTATCGCCGCCCAACAGTGACCTTCGATCTACGGACCAGGGTAACAGACTTGTGATGATGTTATATGATAGACAACAAGGTGACCTTCGATCTACGGACCAGGGTAACAGACTTGTGATGGTGTTATATGATAGACAACAAGGTGACCTTCGATCTACGGACCAGGGTAACAGACTTGTGATGGTGTTATATGATAGACAACAAGGTGACCTTCGATCTACGGACCAGGGTAACAGACTTGTGATGGTGTTATATGATAGACAACAAGGTGACCTTCGATCTACGGACCAGGGTAGCAGACTTGTGATGATGTTATATGATAGACAACAAGGTGACCTTCGATCTACGGACCAGGGTAACAGACTTGTGATGGTGTTATATGATAGACAACAAGGTGACCTTCGTCTACGGACCAGGGTAACAGACTTGTGATGGTGTTATATGATAGACAACAAGGTGACCTTCGATCTACGGACCAGGGTAACAGACTTGTGATGGTGTTATATGATAGACAACAAGGTGACCTTCGATCTACGGACCAGGGTAACAGACTTGTGATGGTGTTATATGTGATGGTGTTATATGATAGACAACAAGTGACCTTCGATCTACGGACCAGGGTAACAGACTTGTGATGGTGTTATATGATAGACAACAAGGTGACCTTCGATCTACGGACCAGGGTAACAGACTTGTGATGGTGTTATATGATAGACAACAAGGTGACCTTCGATCTACGGACCAGGGTAACTTGTGATGGTGTAGAGACTTGTGATGGTGTTATATGATAGACAACAAGGTGACCTTCGATCTACGGACCAGGGTAACAGACTTGTGATGGTGTTATATGATAGACAACAAGGTGACCTTCGATATGATAGACAACAAGGTGAGACTACGGACCAGGGTAACAGACTTGTGATGGTGTTATATGATAGACAACAATGTGACCTTCGATCTACGGACCAGACAACAAGGTGACCTTCGATCTACGGACCAGGGTAGCAGACTTGTGATGGTGTTATATGATAGACAACAAGGTGACCTTCGATCTACGGACCAGGGTAACAGACTTGTGATGGTGTTATATGATAGACAACAAGGTGACCTTCGATCTACGGACCAGGGTAACAGACTTGTGATGGTGTTATATGATAGACAACAAGGTGACCTACGATCTACGGACAAGGGTAAGAGACTTGTGATGGTGTTATATGATAGACAACATGTTGACCTTCGATCTACGGACCTTGGTAACAGACTTGTGATGGTGTTATATGATAGACAACAAGTGACCTTCGAACAGATTGTGATGTGTTATATGATAGACAACAATGTGACCTTCGATCTACGGACCAGGGTAACAGACTTGTGATGGTGTTATATGATAGACAACAAGGTGACCTTCGATCTACGGACCAGGGTAACAGACTTGTGATGGTGTTATATGATAGACAACAAGGTGACCTTCGATCTACGGACCAGGGTAACAGACTTGTGATGGTGTTATATGATAGACAACAAGGTGACCTTCGATCTACGGACCAGGGTAACAGACTTGTGATGGTGTTATATGATAGACAACAAGGTGACCTTCGATCTACGGACCAGGGTAAGAGACTTGTGATGGTGTTATATGATAGACAACAAGGTGACCTTCGATCTACGGACCAGGGTAACAGACTTGTGATGATGTTATATGATAGACAACAAGGTGACCTTCGATCTACGGACCAGGGTAACAGACTTGTGATGGTGTTATATGATAGACAACAAGGTGACCTTCGATCTACGGACCAGGGTAACAGACTTGTGATGGTGTTATATGATAGACAACAAGGTGACCTTCGATCTACGGACCAGGGTAACAGACTTGTGATGGTGTTATATGATAGACAACAAGGTGACCTTCGATCTACGGACCAGGGTAACAGACTTGTGATGATGTTATATGATAGACAACAAGGTGACCTTCGATCTACGGACCAGGGTAACAGACTTGTGATGCTGTTATATGATAGACAACAAGGTGACCTTCGATCTACGGACCAGGGTAACAGACTTGTGATGGTGTTATATGATAGACAACAAGGTGACCTTCGATCTACGGACCAGGGTAACAGACTTGTGATGGTGTTATATGATAGACAACAAGGTGACCTTCGATCTACGGACCAGGGTAACAGACTTGTGATGCTGTTATATGATAGACAACAAGGTGACCTTCGATCTACGGACCAGGGTAACAGACTTGTGATGGTGTTATATGATAGACAACAAGGTGACCTTCGATCTACGGACCAGGGTAACAGACTTGTGATGATGTTATATGATAGACAACAAGGTGACCTTCGATCTACGGACCAGGGTAAGAGACTTGTGATGGTGTTATATGATAGACAACAATGTGACCTTCGATCTACGGACCAGGGTAACAGACTTGTGATGGTGTTATATGATAGACAACAAGGTGACCTTCGATCTACGGACCAGGGTAACAGACTTGTGATGGTGTTATATGATAGACAACAAGGTGACCTTCGATCTACGGACCAGGGTAACAGACTTGTGATGGTGTTATATGATAGACAACAAGGTGACCTTCGATCTACGGACCAGGGTAACAGACTTGTGATGGTGTTATATGATAGACAACAAGTGACCTTCGATCTACGGACCAGGGTAACAGACTTGTGATGGTGTTATATGATAGACAACAAGGTGACCTTCGATCTACGGACCAGGGTAACAGACTTGTGATGGTGTTATATGATAGACAACAAGGTGACCTTCGATCTACGGACCAGGGTAACAGACTTGTGATGCTGTTATATGATAGACAACAAGGTGACCTTCGATCTACGGACCAGGGTAACAGACTTGTGATGGTGTTATATGATAGACAACAATGTGACCTTCGATATACGGACCAGGGTAACAGAGGATGATATGATAGACAACAAGGTGACCTTCGATCTACGGACCAGGGTAAGAGACTTGTGATGGTGTTATATGATAGACAACAAGGTGACCTTCGATCTACGGACCAGGGTAACAGACTTGTGATGGTGTTATATGATAGACAACAAGGTGACCTTCGATCTACGGACCAGGGTAACAGACTTGTGATGGTGTTATATGATAGACAACAAGGTGACCTTCGATCTACGGACCAGGGTAACAGACTTGTGATGGTGTTATATGATAGACAACAAGGTGACCTTCGATCTACGGACCAGGGTAACAGACTTGTGATGGTGTTATATGATAGACAACAAGGTGACCTTCGATCTACGGACCAGGGTAACAGACTTGTGATGGTGTTATATGATAGACAACAAGGTGACCTTCGATATCCGGACCAGGTTAGTGTATTTTGTGTGATTGTTGATGTATTGTCTGCATAGATATTTAAATATGATATTATTGGCAATTGTAAAATGTATAAGTTGAAAAAATCTAAACGATGCACTTTTAATTTTGCTGTACATATCTTAGTATTAGGAATGTGTTTATACGTTCTTACATAAGAGACATGGGCTTTATATATGTATATCTGATGTCTCAATTCAAAAGAAAATGCCTTTTATCTTATATATCCTTTAAATGACAAAATAAGCGTTGAATCTGAAATAAAGTTATATGAAATATATTATATAAAAAATAAGTTTAATAATTTAAAGATATACAAATGTTCAATACAATCTATTTATTCTCAGAAAATTAAGATTTACTACCATCATTGAGTTTAAAAATATGCTTTAATTTCCGA